ATCGAGTTGGCAGAGTGGATGCGGATCCATCACTCATGGTGCACCTCGGTGTCGGACAAACAGAAGAAGTGAGGAATATTTAACAGCAGCGGTCACAGTGATGATGAGGCGAGCACCAGTGAAGTGATCGCGGCCGCGCATCTCGTTTCTCAGGCCCGCTCCGTGTGTCTGCTGGGCGGCGATCAAACGGACAGGGCAGCGCTTTTCACGAGCGGAGATCGCTACTAGATGAATCATGTAATTTGTTATTTTTATTATCTCTGTTCTCTTTTGTCGTAAGTTATGCTATTACTCCAGTAATTTATACTAGCCTATCCAGCGCTCCCTGAACGTAGTCTCTGGCTTATTGCCAGTCAAGCGCAACGCTGCAGGGACGCGTCTATAACGACTTTGATCTGATCATAAAGTCTTTCAGAGTCACAGGGCTCAAGTCCAAGTCAAGTCTCGAGTCATTGCTGTCAAAGTCTAAGTCGAGTCTCAAGTCTTCTTTAATTATTTCGAGTCGAGTCGCAAGTCATCAAATTTGGGACTCGAGTCCGAGTCAAGTCTCGAGTCAAGTGACTCGAGTCCACACCCCTGCTTCAGACAAGTTTGGAGTTAATGACGCCAAATGCCACTGGTTGTCCCAACATCACTGGTCACTAGTTAAGGGATAAACTGAGCTTTTTGAAACTCTGAATCATGTAAACCAATAGCTTTGCAAAATGATTCACTGTTTCAGTGCACTTGAAACACTTCACACTGGCAACACTTGCTGGTCAAAATGGTGTAAATGCAGTGGTGAAATAGTGTAAATTCTCTCTCTGTCTGTCTACACTGAGAAAACTGAGAATATATCATATCAAGTTTAGCACCCACAATTAGTTTCAACATTACCATTTGTGACCACAAAACCCTGTGTTATTTCTGTATTTTCACAAAAGTCTTAAATTGCACGGGTATGTTTGTAGCCATAGCCAAAATTGTAAAGGTCAAAATTGTCGATTTTTCTTTTATGCCAAAAATCATTTGAATATTAAGTAAAGATCATGTTCCATGAAGATATTTTATAAATTTCCTACCATAAATATATAAAAACTTTTTGACATTAGTAATATGCATTGCTAAGGACTTCATTTGGACAAATTTAAAGGCGATTTTCTCAATATTTTGAATTTTTTGCACCTAATAAACCATACATCAATGAAAAGCTTATTTATTCCGTTTTCAGATGATGTATAAATCTCAATTTCGAAAAATTGACACTTAAGACTGTTTTTGTGGTCCAGGGTCACATTTATTGTCATCAACAATCAGAACAAATCAATGATCATTTAAACCAACAATGACAAAAACACAGAACTTAAATGGTAATCAATGATTACATGTGCAGGAACCAACCCTTTAATTAGAATAAAACCACCTACATGTGTGATTTAACCATTTAAAACAATTCCCTGGTGATAAAGACCTCACATTAACAGTGAGTATAACCCAGTGAGAAACAACCATGACTGATTCTCCAGCAGTCCAAGAGATAAAACTAAAAAGGTATGATGAAAGAGAGAAGGAGAGGTGCTTTAGTACAATAAATAATAGCGAATAGCAAAGGGAGATGGTGATAGAGATATATAAATGATGGTGAAAGTGGGATGATAGGGAAAGAGTCAGATGAGAGCTAAAGTGTGTGTGGGAGGTTGTCAGTAGCAATGTGTCTATCACTCCTAATGAGCTCTGAAGGCTAAAGAAACAGTGACACTGACAACAGACTTGAAAACACAGCTAAACTGTCTTTCACCTTACACACTGTCATTCTCTCAAGCCTTTTTATCCTTTTCTCCTCCCTCTACCTCTTTTAACATCAGCATAGATGAATGCAAAGATGATTTCCAATTTTTTTATCAGCCATATAATAAACACATCTCATGCTACTTTAATTAAAATAAGTGTAAAGACGCCTAAGCAGACATTAATAAGTAAGCTGGTATACTGTAGAAGGTAGGTTTGCCATGGCAAGCGCGTTCTACACTCAGGGCAGCCGACTCCTGAGGGACATGCAATGAAGTGAGAGAGAGGTTAAAAAGGGGTTGAATTTTTTAAAGACAATCAAGATCAATTCCTATAAGATGTCCCCACTGAATATAGAAGAAGACAATCAAATGTACATTTGCAAAATGCCCACAGGACATGTTCATTTTCTTTGACTAGTTACACAATTTTTTTTTCTGCTCAGTTTATGCTAATGCATCTCATTATGTTGAATTTAAACCACTTCAAATGTGCTATATCTGTGCTTGTTTCTTACACTTGAAACTACAATGAAGGCATACATACATTAAAATGTAAAGAATTTCATACAATGTTTTTATGTGTACATATTGTTCTCCTTCACAAGATTTGCATTTGCTTCTAAAAATGACGTTTAAGGTTCTGTGTTTGATTTGGTGTGATTAGGGTGAGATTTAATAGTAAAGTCACTCTTGCAAGACTTGCTTGCTCTAAATAGGGGCACATAGGCTACCCCACACTCTTAATAATTAAGATTCCCAAAGGGGGGTTTCACATCGATGCCACAGAAGAAACATTTTAGGTTCCCCAAAAGAGCGTTTCAGTGAACAGCTCTTAAAATAACCTTTTTTTTTCTTAGTGCTTAACATTTCAGTAATCTGAAGACTCTATTTCCACTAAAAAAGAATGTTTTGTGCAATGGAAAGGTTCCATGGATTTTAAAAGTTTTTCACAGGATCATTGATACCTATAAAGAACTTGTATTTTTAAGAGTGCAATGGACCCTGTGTGTGATTTCTATATAACAACAAAAATAACAAAATTACCAATTGATTACATTAAATCCTTAGTAATATATTGGATGATGCATAATCATCATGTACATCTTAAACGTCTATGAATATGTAACAATTCAGCAGCATTCCCCTATACAGGCTAGTAGTTATAGACAACTAATTTACAGTCGGTAATTCTGCGTATTCTGCGACCATCCCTCACTCCTGCTATGACAGCATACCAGTACAACCTGACTTATTTTTATAAGTACTAATTGGGTAGACAGCAACCCTATTAGGATGCACATCTCCTCGGGAAATCGATTTCTTGATCTGCAGAGACTGGTGCGAGTGAGCGCGAGCGCGTCATTGTGTGGAGGGCGGGGGGAGCGCGAGACACACATCCCGCGGGTGGAACAGCCTTTTCCTCACAGAAATCGAACAGTGAGAAACTGTTGCTTCTTGATAATATCTTAACAAAAATATTGCCATATTGGACTTTTAAACAGTAATCTGGTTACTAAATAATTTTTGCAAGCACCAGTAGTAGTTTAATGATCCCCAAAGATATGATAGGATAGAAGTAGGCTTGTAAAGTGAACTGTCTTGAAGAAGCAGAAAAGGTTGCAAAGAAGCGGCAAAAGGAGAAGACGAGATATTTCAAGCTGACAACGGTCAGAGCAGAGTGACTGTCAAAGAAAAACCCAAAGGCGCGAGATTCTCTGACATATTCTGAGCTGTTCGCACACGCGAGAGGAGCTGCGGTGTCGTGCAGAGTTACTCATCCATTTTCATGTTCTCTGGAAACTTGTAAGGTAGGTAGAATTGTTTTGCCGTGGTCATTTGTTTCTCAGAAATGTGTTAAAAACTTTTAATAGATTGTTTCCATGATTTGCCTTTTAACTGGATGGAATCAAAATGTAAAAAAAAAAAAAAAAGATAAGGAAACATATTTGATAGTGGTTTAATGAGCAGCCTACATAGTGCCATATAAAAGTTAATATGCGCATATAGTGATGTTTCTGCAAACTCTGATGGCATGATTAAAGTCAGTTAAATAACAATGATTATTAAAATACATATGCAACCATACTTTGGAGGCCTTGTGCATAAAAGCATATTTTTTTCTGTGAAAAGCCTAATATTGAACAGAAATAAATAACCTCATAGCACATTCTCAATAAGCATCAGTGGATCCATTGGCAGCTCTTAAAAGATGGGCCATAAGTTTTCCAGTTAATCTAATTTAGGTCTTTTTATGTTTCAACTCAGTGAGAAACATGTCAAGATGCTGGTTGATCTTGGAACCTGAATGTTATTCAGCTGACGTTTGATGAAGACCAGCAGGGACTGAAAATCACCCAGAGTGCTGTGAGCCTAATTTAAAATTATATCTTACCATCCATTTACCATCGGGCTTACAGGACGTTTACAAGCGAAGAACGTAAACTTATGCGTTTGAAGGTTTAAGACTGTCTCAAAAAGTCTAAATAATATACAGCGTGGATTGTTTTGGATCAATATGAATCACAATCACAGCTTTCTTCTGTGAGAGGAGGGGCAGAGTTTGTTTAAATGCTGCGGTGGACATGGACTTTTCTGGGAATTCTGCAGAACGCTTCTTGAACTTCTCATGGAAAAATAAGCCACACCGTTGTCACTCCACCAATCTATAAGGAGAAGCCACTACCATACAGCACCCCCTGAGAAATACACCTCCACATCACCTGATAGAATCTCCGTCCACGGACGAACATTTGGAGAAACCAAATCCCCCATGTTGCTTATATCAGACAAGTAATATATATTCATATGACAATATAAACCCGCTGGATCATCCAGAATTGCTGTTTATATGGAGCGATAACCGGGTCCGGTGTGTGTCACTCAGAAGAGGTAGTGGTTAGTGGGCTGGTGATTATGATTTTGAAGTAAATGAAAGCAGAAGGGGAAAATAGCAGAAATTGAAACTTTTGAAAGGAAATGAAGACAAACATTCTTTAAGACTTTGTTCCATATAGGATATTTGATTTGTTTGTTGTTGAAAGTGGATTTTTCATATTGAAAAACAATTTCTTTTAGCTCATTTCTCAGACACAAGCCACTCTTCAACGTATTTTACTCCCTCGTTAATTTTTCTATCTCACCTTAGTGCTTTTTCCTTCCCAGAGTTCATTCTGGCTGGGCCTGTTTCTTCTAAAGGGGAGGAGAACTTCCTCTCTATCGCTGCCTCGCGCCTCAGCCGCAGGAAGCGCGTTATTGGCGCGGCAGTGGGTGTGGCCATGGTGCTGGTACTACTGGTTGCTATTCCGTTGCTGGTCCACAGCACCAAACTGGGTGGGTCTGGAGGCAGAGGTACGCATTACGAGATGCTTGGAAGCTGCAAGATGGTCTGTGACTCTCTAACGCCCACCAATGAACTAACATCTGTTTCGCCTCCACCTCACGACACCCCTGGACGCAGAGGGGGAGGCAAGTTGGGTTTTCGTGGAAACCAAGGGCCACCAGGCCCACGTGGGCCACCTGGAGAACCAGGAAAACCAGGTCCGCCTGGACCTCCAGGTCCAGGCCCAGGAGGATACATCCCATCGTTCTACAGCCCCAAAATTGCCTTTTATGCTGGTCTTCGCAAGCAACATGAGGGGAGTGAGATACTTAAGTTTGATGATGTGGTGACAAATGTAGGGAATTATTATGAGCCTACCACTGGCAAGTTCACCTGCCCTCTTCCTGGAATCTATTTCTTCACCTATCACGTGCTCATGAGGGGCGGAGATGGAACTAGTATGTGGGCCGACCTCAAGAAAAATGGACAGGTAGGAGATGTGACTGTGAGTGTGTGTGTGTACACAAAGATTGTGTTATTTAGATCTGAATTGAGAATGCCTTTTAAATTCCAATTCAATTCCTAAATTATATTCAGGTAGCAAACAGGATTTTAAAAACTGTCAATGCAGTTTAACTAGAAAAGCAAGGTTTGCCAAGACAAACTATGAGTGTTAGCTTGCCAAATCCTTGTTTGAAAGTTTTGAAAAAAGTAGATAGACAGACAGACAGACAGACAGACAGACAGACAGATAGATAGATAGATAGATAGATAGATTGAAGGATAGATAGATAGACAGACAGACAGACAGACAGATAGTATATCAGCTTATTAACCATATTTAAATTATATTAACTTTTGTGGACCATGGCAAAAGAAGACTTTATTTCCCAGAATCCCTGTGTTGAATTGCAATCCAGTAAATTCCTTTTCCTGTCATTCCAATTTGAGTTCTTGTGGGCTGAGACCAATTAAATTCAAATTCCAACTCATAAATTGAAAGACAATTGTTCAACTCTTAGTGTTGTACTTCCCTGGTAAAAACAGCCTTTGGGTTCATTCTGCACAATGGTAGAGTTTGCTAACTAAGTTTTTAGAGCTACTTCATCTTGACTAAGTCAGACATGAATGAACTGTAAAAAACAAAAGTGTGATTTGACTGAAATATCAAACAAATATTAGATTCACCGGTAGGATTAAGGAATACATTTAACATTCAAATAGGATCCAGTTAGGCAGCTACTCAATTATTCATCAGTCATTTTCTCAGCCTATCACTAGATACCTACAGAGGGGAAAAAGACAATGCAAACATATATATATATATACAGGTGCATCTCAATAAATTAGAATGTCGTGGAAAAGTTCATTTATTTCAGTAATTCAACTCAAATTGTGAAACTCGTGTATTAAATAAATGCAATGCACACAGACTGAAGTAGTTTAAGTCTTTGGCATGAACTTTTCCACGACATTCTAATTAATTGAGATGCACCTGTATATATATACACACATGCAGATTTAGAAGACAATGACACCTTACAAAGAGCATAGCATATGCCAAATGGGTTTAAATGTGTTTTGAACAGTCCATTTGGGACTGTTTAACAGAATAAACTATGTTTTTATTGTAAGAGCCAGAAATAGCAAAAGGCTAACGGTTTCCAATGAAAAGAGGACATTTGTAACACACACAAACAAGCAAACGCTCTCTCTTTGACTCTCTCCGGAGTGGAACGAAATGCAACAGCTGGAGACAGTCCTCACAGGACCCGTGGATTTAGAATAAATGAAAAAGTAAGGAGAGAAAAAACCTCTCCATCTGGTGAAATATGACACGGATCTGGGATTCAGGCGCTCTCAACTCAACCGCTCAGTTTTGATTTTTAGTAGTGGAACAGAAAGTGGGGATTATCCAGAGATAAAAAATTCCCTTGGCAACATGTGTTTACATACACACAGTGTCTCTGTCTTCCTCACACAGACAAACACACACACACACGCAGATTCCTGGAGCTTTTGGCCCTTTGTGACAGATATATCTGACAGGAAGTGATGAAAACCCTTTAATGATTCTGTAGCAACCTGTCAGCTTCCCTTCATCACACTGCCATTAACATGACATAACACCTGCAATTAATGCCCTTTGTCTGTTCATCATACATGATCTAGCACAAAAGAAACTGATTGTAGTGAATCCACAGCTTTGTGATCCAAAGAGTGCATCTGTGAAATACTAATGATGGAACTAGTTATATCAACCTTCTCAGCTAAATTTACTGATTCAAATGCACAAGCTCTGCATGTGAAGCCAAACTAAGCCAAACTCATGCAGTGGATTTATCTTTAAAACATTTACGAAAAAATATATTAATTTTATATTTTCACCAATAAATAAATCAATAAAATAAAATAAAAACATCAAACTAGTGTTTGTCATACATTGTAAAAATGCTTTGTTAGGTAACCCTAAAAATGTGTTTGAAGTGGTAACATCTAAAGTAACTGGTAATATTTATGTAAAAAATATTAGATTAATATTAGAATATGAACCAAAATACATTGAATAAACCATTAAAATTCATTTTCAAGGTTCTGTTCAGATGGAAATCTCATTTGAGAAACTGCTGCACAATGAAGCTTTTTGAATTTAGTTTAAGGGCAAATTGGGACACTTTTTGACTGTAATATTAGATCAAAAGTTACCCGAATTGACTTTATAATTGCAATATCAATAAAATACTGAATTTTGTTAATGCTGTTACTCAGTTTGTCACATAGAGGAGCAGAATGTCTCTGCTACTCATTGACTAAAAACATTTTATTTCTGAATATACTGTACAGTAGCTCATGCGCTACAGGCCAAATCCAGACTGCTCGGGATTCAACATAGCCTTCATTAAGTGGAGGACGAGATGCAGAAAGTGAGAAGATGAGGAGAGTAAGCTTAGGCAGTGTATGGCATGCTGTATTGCATATATTGTCATTCCAGTGATCTCCTCTTGTATTAAATCATTCATGTCTTTAAGGTGAGATTCCCTCTTTTCCACCTGGGCCACACACAAACACACACACAGCCACACTCTGCCAAATGTCTATCTCTGCCCTCATTAATTATCTCTCGCCTTAGCTAAATTATTTAACCCATCTCAAGGTCCTCTCAAAGCATTCTCACAAACATACACACAACTGCACCAACATGAGTTTGGATTCGCTCTTAAAGGGATAGTTCATCCAAAAATGAAATTTGCTGTCATCATTTACTCACCCTTATGTCCAAACCTTTTTCTTCTGTGGAACACCAAATACAAAGACATTTTGAAAAGTGTTTTTTTTTCCACACAAAATTGACAATCAATGGGGTCCAATGTTGTTTTGGACCCCACACTGTAAAAAACTATTGGTTGAATCAACTTAAAAACTTTGTTACCCCACTTCCTTACAATTTTTTGTTATCTTAATTTTTTTCTCGGTGTAAAGCAGTTGTTTCAACATGCGTTTTTGAGTTGAAACAACAGTTATACTAGTTCATTCAGCTTTCAGCTTAGTTGAGGTCCAATAAACTTAAATTGTCTTGTTTTCTGGACAATTTATAAAAAATTGTTATGTCTACAAAAAAAATAGTTGAATGGCAAAATCTCTAACTTATTTTTTACAGTGCACTGACTTTCAGTGTATTGACTCAGTTCCATCTTCTTTTTTGTTCAGAGGAAATAAAGCCATACGACATGAGGGTGAGTAAACGATGAAAGACTTTTTATTTTGAAAAGGAAGCTGTTGGAAAACTTGCCCATATCACTGTTGTTTTAGGTGTAAAACAATATTTACGCTATATTTATTATAGCTATTTTAAAATGAAAAGGCAAATGAAAACGGCAAGGGCAAAACCTGAAAGTGTGAGCCCACCCAGATGAGCAGGGCATGCAATAGGAGGCAGTAAAATGGTGTGGGATGATAGAGAGATGAACGGAGGACAGGAAGATGGATGGCTAATCAGTGGAGAGCCGACAGAGAGGTCGGGAGAAAGTGTTACTGCGAGGCCAGAGACAGACAGCATCAGATCAGTGTAAGTAAGATAGATGAGCAAAACGACAGAAAGTGTGAGCGCATGTGTAAGTGAGAGAGAGAACGAGAAAGGACTACTGACCTCCTTGCAGGTCATAGATTTGCAGAAGCTGATACTACAAACATAGTATATGATCTTCTATCCAATACAGGTAGATTCCAACACACTTTGAGACAGGCAAAAATGTTGTTGTAACTTCAGCGAGATTGTGGCAGTTAGTTTTATTTTTAGAGAACTCTTAATATTAATGTATTTGTGAAATGCCACTTATTAGTTGAAGTTTGGCTCCTCATGGAAGGGATAGATTGCATGGGGCTGAATAAGAAACGAAAACAGCATCATGAGGGGTGCAGCAGGGACCGCAACGTCCACAAATTAATGTCACTCAAGTAGAATACCCAGCCAATTTGTTTCTCGTTACAAATTCGATTAATTAATTCAGTAATTGATTCTTGGTTATGTAAACATGTCTCTTCTCATCCCACTGTACGACTAGCTTTTACTTTGGGTTCATCTTTAGCACTTCACCTCCCTGTCTCATTCGAAAATCTCTCCCTCTCTCTGGTCTCGTCAGAGTAACGCGGCACTAATTAAGGTGTGATGCAGAGAAGTTGTTAGAAAAGCCTCGAACATCCTGTCAATTACACAGAAGCTAATGAGTTTACATCCTCCAATTAATTAATTAATATAGTTAATGAGGTAATCCCACAGTACCTTGACAGGTTTTTGCATCTGTTGCAACAGACACTTGTACACCCCTTTTCCCTGTTTACAGATCTACGCTTTCTCAGCCTCTTGTTTTCTTCTTTTGTATAGCTCTCATTCCCTGTGCTTTCACTGACCTTTGAATGAACAAAAAGGTCGATCGAATACAAATTCTGAGATTACGTCAGTGTTTGTGAGGAGGTCCATTTAGGAGAGGACATACTGTACAAAACATACATATATGAACCTGTAGCATGCAAGGCACTTAGATTCTCAAGTATAGTGATTTTTACCAGTTAAAGGACATACTGAGAAAGACACACCTGGAGCCTTTAACCTTGAGGTGGGACTGTAAAAAGAGACTGACAGTAAGGAAGAATTATGGCATGCTGCCTGGAAATGCTGGCAAATTTGTTTGAAATGTTTGTGGCAAACAATTTGGCACATTCTTTTCATTCATTCTTGTTTTATCTCATTGATGTTGGTTCATAAAGTAGTTTCCCTCAATGCTCCCACATTTTCTCACTCTGCAATTCAACAAAGATTGTTTGCACAGATTTGCACAAATGTACATATTGTCTGACAACATGAAAAACAGAGGGGATTTTAAAAAAGATAGAAAAGAAAAGAGGTTAAATTTGCATGGCTTCTTCATGTCCACCTTTGATTATGTCACAAAACTGATCATTCTCAGTTCCCTTTTCTTTCCTTCAAGGCTTGTTTCTGACCAAGACATATTTGTAAAAATCAGATACATCTTCCATCAGATAAGTGAAGTGCTACTTCAAGTAAAATCAGTCATATCGGGAGCCCTGCAGTGTAACCAATTAGCCTCTTAAATGTTACTCAGAAACAGGGGATTTGTATGAATACAAAATTACAGAAGATAAATGGTTCATTCTTGAATTCATAAATCACAGTGTTAACCTTTAGCAATGGAGAACATTATATATTTTGAGGTTACACACTGTGGTAAAGCTGCATGCCCTCTGTGTATGCGAGAGGACTGACATTCTAAAAAATTTTGTTTTATTATTAGTAGTATTATTTGATGATAAGAAATTTACTTAGTAATGAAACTTTAGGAATATTATGTGCAGCACAGCTTAAGTCCATAGTTATTTTTAAAGTAACAATTTTAAAATAAATACACTCTTGGAAAAAAAAAGGAAAGAAATTTAAAAGCAGCTGTAAGCCCTGTGACATGTATATTTTATTGGCTTTCATAAAAGTCAAATAAAATAAATTAGGTTCGCAACCAATCATTTGTATACATTTCTGTGTATTATTTTCACTTCTGACAATTGAATGTTTTTCTGGACGTATTATTTGGTTCTTGAATTTATTTAACGAATATGTTTGCATTATCATCACGCTGTTTCTGTCAGAAACTGTCTGTATAGTTTAAGCCGAAGGGCTGCTATTTAATCTGATAACGGGTCGTTGAAATCACTTGGGGAAACAATACAATGCACATGCCAGCTAAGTCTCTCTATTTCGCACACACACACACACACACACCCAGTTAATACTTGGTGACTCCATTTGACTGGTGGTCGGTACGAGGCTCCGTTTATTGTGATACAGTGGAGTTATTGAGGAGTGGGCGCCATTAGGAGCAACAGCCGAGGCACTGCGCCGGGCAATTACCGAGCTAGCGAGGCCCCGACGCAGCCCCAGGCCTCCCGCGGGAGCTGCCACCTCGCGCCGTTAATCAATCCGATTTAGACTGGACAGGGACACGTGCCAACACGAGACGCGCAGTGGAGACACGCGCGTGACCTGCATTTTATTACGATCCCAGCAGAAAAAGATGGATAGATGCTGCAAGGAATGAACAGATACGGGGGAAGAGGTGCTGGGACAAGAAAGATGAGGGGAAGACAGGGATAATTAATGATGTGAGAAGAATTAAGCACAACTCGAGAAAATGTCGATCACTTGGAGACGCGACTGAAATTCATTTAATCTTAAAAAGTAAAAAGTATTTTATGGATAAACTAGAATTTAAAAAGGGATGAATATTTTATAGATTTTAATGGTAGCAGACCTTGGATGGTAAGCAGTGAGGGTTAAATAAATTTGAATTACACTTATTAATTTTTCACAGGACTGGATGCATTAATTATGCTTTGATTCTTACATATGCTAAGATCATGCATTAATTAGCAGTCAAAAATTAGGCTTTGGTTGAAGCATAGACATTAATCAGTGTTTTGACATGAATGTTTCAAGACAGATGTGTTTATTTTAATGCTGATGTTCAAAAAATAATCAAATGTTAGGTCTTTTTTTCTCCTCCCTGCTTTATCGTCCATGTTTTTTTTTGTTTTTTTTTTAACAGAATAGAGTTGTTGGCATGACTGTAAGTAATTCAGTATTGCCAAAGCTTGGGATATATGCAAAATAAATAGTATTATATGAGTTTAACAATTAAACAAATTAGTACATTTGTGAAAGACTGAAGACCACAGTGTTTAACAGCCTTATACATTACACACCACACACATGCAACACACAGATCAATAAGCCTTATTCCCTCGGACCTTGGTCTGTCTTGGTCTTTTGTTCTCTCTCTGTTCTGTGTATCCCATAGGATACTTAGGGAGGAGACGAGAAATCATAAGACGGGAGGGAAAGACTGTTTGTTAGAATGAGAGGGACTGCCGGTTTCCATTGAGGTTAAAGGATTTAAAGGCATCTGCACACTGACGATGAGAAGAAGCAGACTGATATATTAGAAAGAAGCTTTCTAACTGAAGTTTTCAAACTTAATTGCAAAAGCAGCATAAAAGTATCATAAATGTGTTCCATGCAACTCGTGTGCTATATAGTTTCAAAACAATACAATAGCTTTGTGTAATGAAAAGACAAAATTCAAGTTGTTATTCCCTGAACACTTATCTCCTCTCTCTCTACCTAATTATTATGATTTACTCTTTCTTTTATCCAACATTAAAACCATTTTTTGCTCTCTCATTCCCTCTCTCAGGTGAGGGCCAGTGCGATCGCTCAGGACGCAGATCAGAATTATGACTACGCCTCTAACAGTGTGATCCTGCATTTAGATGTGGGAGATGAGGTTTGTGTGCAGTTGGATGGCGGAAAAGTGCATGGAGGAAACACCAACAAATACAGCACATTCAGTGGCTTTCTCATCTACCCCGACTAACATACACAAACATACAAAAATTATAATATATCATCACATATTTAACACCATCAAATCAGACTGACTGATAGACAGCAACATCTGATTCAAGCAATACAACATGTGATATAACTTCAAGAGGAAACATTGTAAAATTTACTTCAAAACTGAGAGTATGCTTTCTGATTATAGTGACAAAGTCAACAGCAGTGACAACCCATTTTACTTTCTTAATATGATGTAATTCAAAGTGAAACAGGATGTTCAAAGAGAAAAAAAGTATGCTGGGACTTGATTTTATCCACTGCCAATTGATTGGATTGTAAAAAGTGGTCTGTCTATGACAGGTACGCAATGTACATTTGGTCAAAATGTACAAATTTTAAGTTTAAGCATAAGCATAAAACATAAGCATAAAAATCTTCCATAGTATTATGACTACAAACATTCTCTGAAAACAAATCTTAACAGCTGACAAAAAAAAAAAACAATCAAAGATAGGGATTTAAAAAAAAATTGCAGTGTAACATATGTAGCAAAAAATGGCTCTTGATAAGAAAAGACTACTTACTAAATGTATTTTGGAGGTTAAGCAAGTTATTATGTTTTGATGAAAGATTATGTAGACAAACTTTTTTTCTTTGAAATACTGTGAACAGATGAGTTGATCACAATAACACCATGAATGTGTATTAAGAAACTAAAGAGGGTTTTTTCAAATTTGATTTCATGTTGACTTTAACCAAGTTGTAGACACTTTGTATTGACTTTGCTAACAGTCATCTTGGTCTGGCCATGGTGTATTTGCTACTTTTAAGACAATTAACTTTGAAACATGAGAAAAATGTAGTCCGGGTCTTATTTTTTGATTTTGAGCTCACCAATGATGAAGAGAATGTTGATATTTAGTTGATATTTTTAATTGATTATTTTTCATTTTAAAATTACAGTGTCTGGCACTATTACAGTATGTTGTGTGCAAAGCTCATCCATTACACTCTTAAAAATAAAGGTGCTTCACGATGCCATAGAAGAACCTTTTTGTCTAAGTGGTTCCATAAAGAACCTTTAACATCTGAAGAACCTTTCTGTTTCACAAAAGGTTCTTTGTGGCGAAAGAAGGTTCTTCAGATTACAAAAAGGTAAGAAAGAGATGGGTCTTTAAAGAACCTTTGACTAAATGGTTCTTTGGGGAACCAAAAATGGTTCTTCTATGGCATCGCTTGAAGAACCTTTTGAAGCACCTTTATTTTTAAGAGTGTAGGCTAAAAAGAAAACTACCTTTAAGGATTACCCAGAATTATCTTGTTGCATTTTACTAGATCACCATTCTCCCCCTGCATCATGTGTATGTGTGTGCATAACTGGGAAAAGGGTGTATGCATTTCATGGCATGGAAACTGTATGTTTTAACCTCTATGTCTACTAAGTATGTACACAGTGTTTATACTGGAGGAACTTTGAGACTATTGTGAAATTATAAATGATAATTATATGATAATGATATAACCAGTCTTTCTATGTTTAATTCCGCAAACATCCTGTAGGATTGGTTTGTGGACTAAACATTTAAAAGTGTCCTGATCCATCTGTAATCTGAAAACATCCAGTTTCTTTGTGTGTGTGTGTGTGTGTACCTGGTATTTATCACGTTATGGGGACACACACACACACACACACACAACCAGATGCATACACATTTCCTTGGTAATGAGGGGAGATAGATGGCTGGGCATCCTTTGAAGGACAATAGTAAAAAGGTCAAAGAGATTGGCTAGACAGCAACACCAACACTTTCTACATTTGTGATAACTCTGACAGAAACATGGTTAGGAAAGAGAACATTTAACTGTTTTGTCAATCTACACTGACACTGCAGGTCTCTACAGCTTGAATTTCTTGTGTAGGTAAGGCCTCACAATCAGACTTTAAGATGTCATTTGAGAAAACATTGAAGGGTGAAAGATTCTCACAAACACATCCTCCAAATAGACATAAATAAAAACATATCATTACTTTTTTACAATGCACAACTTTAAGACAGACAGACAGACAGGATAGATAGATAGATAGATAGATAGATAGATAGATGGATGGATTTATTAACATGCTTATTAATCTGTTTTATCAGACAGTACGCATGATGATGCAGCAATTGTTTATAATCAGTTCTCATACGATTAGGAAAAGTCACGAGATATCATCTTGATACTTAAGCATGTTAAACATGTTTATTAAACGGACAGAACATGAGATACTACTTCATGCTAAATGTTTCTAAGTGAGTCTGCCGAACGACCAGCACTGAGCAAACGCAGCTCTGGCAACACTTTACTTTAGACAACACCACCACCTATTGTATACTTTTAGGTATTGCTATTTCTACTGCAAACTAAAGACTTGAATTTGACAAGTTCAAGAGGCTCAAGTGCATCTACTTTAACAATACCGTGAGTTATACATTCACTGGATGATGAAGGACACATTTGGTTCCTGTTAATTATCACTAACCATTCAAAATTACTTACTATTTGCTTGCGTCTAGTGAATATTATTGATAGTTGAAAAATCAATTTTGCAATTTGAGGGAAATATGAGACTACTTTAAAACAAGGGCTATCAAGTTTACTAAAATATGGGGACTACAACAATTTATTGTGGAAAGTTCAATGTGATTTCGCTCTTTGAGGAGGGGGATGGGATGCCCAGAAGACACTGGCCACCTTTGTCCGCCATTTTGGCTCAAGGTTTTCCAAAGCTGCAATGGAAGCACAAGCCTAGAATTTGAACCGGAATGGAGGTTGTTTCCTATCCATCGACTATTACTTTCGACTTTTCTAGCAAAAACAAATGAACGCCAGGGGGCGGTGGGTGGCAAAACTTTCGAGCAGACAAAGATGGCGGTACGGAAGAAAGACGGCGGCCCGAATGTAAAATATTTCGAAGCGCCTGATACCGTCTCGCAGTTCGACAATGTCCGGGTTTGGCTGGGCAAGAATTATAAAAAGGTACCATTCGTTTATTTGTAACCAGCACTGACCGTTCGTGATATATTTGTGCAGGAAAGGGCAGACTCGAGGCGGGTAGGCAGAAAGGAGAGGGGAGGGCAGGAAAGGAGATGGAGAGAAATCCAGCTGTTTAAAATCCACAGTCTGACGCGTCTTAGACAATAGAAGATGCTGGATGCGCGTCTTGAGAAAAGTCTTAAGACGTACCCAAGAATTTGCTTTATCTAAAATATCCCACATCTCTGGATAGTCATTTGACCTTATCTAATAGGTTTTTATGAATGGCCTTTCTCTTTTATACAAGGAAAGGCCAGCTCGTGTAACGGGGCTGCGGTACTGGCAGCGCAAGTGCGTGAATCCAGATGTGCAGCCAAATCCGCCTCGCGCGCTGTGTGTGTAAAAAAACAGCAACGTGTTACAGACGATGACAAATTCACAGTCGGATGTGAAGAATGTTTTTTCTCTCTTCAGTTGCAACAATTTACCCGTGGAAATTACTCGATACACTGAAGCAATGTGTGGGAACCGGCTACAGTGTGCAACAAAGTGTACTTTCTCGCTAATGAAACACCTCAATTAACATATACATGAAAATGTAAAGGTATTTCATATATGAGGTAAAGAAAGATATTCCTTGCATAGTAAACGTCTTTTAATGTAGTTCAAAGCAAACCTAATTTTAATAAATGCATGTATTTACCTTTATGGAATCACCATTACAAAAATAATATGAAATTAAGTTTTAAAATATGAATATGGAAACATTAAATTAAATTATACGTAAAAATACTAAACTAAATTATATATCCACATAAAAACCACAGGACTGATGCTATATAATTCAGACTCTGCTCAGAGCAGCCTTAATTGTGTTTTATTTATTTTTTTGTCATTTAAAAATACTCATTTTAACTTTTAAAATGTCAAGTCATGTAGATGTTCCATAGATGGATGGAGGAAAGCTGACAGACCACTCTTAAATATAATTAAGCAAAAGCAAGCATGTCCCTATTAGTGGTCAAGGAAAAGTTTTGGATCATTTGCTTGGTGAAACCTTAGCGAAAATGCATTCAATTTAGCATTTTTTTAATTTAATGCATTCCTTTCGTAAATTATATTATCAACATTAAATTTGAGAGAAAGGTTGAATTAACAATAACATGAATTTAAACATCACTGTATATGTAATACAATTTAATGATTGCAATGGTCACAAAATATACAAAAAATTGCAGAAATTAAATTAGCACTTAATTTTATGCAGTATTATTGTTATTGGCTAATGCAGATAACATCAGAATGACCAAAGGGGAAGTCGTGGCCTAATGGTTAGAGAGTCGGACTCGTAACCTAAAGGTTGTGGGTTCGAGTCTCGTACCGGCAGGGATTGTAGGTGGGGGGAGTGAATGTACATACAGCACACTCTCCCACCTTCAATACCACGACTGAGGTGCCCTTGAGCAAGGCACCGAACCCCCAACTGCTCCCCGGGCGCCGCAGCAAAAAAATGGCTGCCCACTGCTCCGGGTGTGTGTTCACTGTGTGTGTGTGTGTGTGTGTGTGTGTGTGTTCACTGCTGTGTGTGTGCACTTTGGATGGGATAAATGCAGAGCACTAATTCCGAGTATGGGTCACCATACTTGGCCACATGTCACGTCACTTTAAATATTGACTAATTAATCTATATATATATATGTGTGTGTGTTCCTTTTATTATGGTGTCTAGCGTCTAAAACATTCTCTTTTTCTTTCTAGTATATTCAAGCAGAGCCCCCCACCAATAAATCTTTGTCGAGTCTGGTGGTTCAGCTCCTTCAGTTTCAGGAGGAAGTGTTTGGCCGACATGTCAGCAACCCTCCCCTCACTAAACTACCGGTACTCACACAAGCCTTCTTTCGTAATAGTATTGAATTGAATGTATTAAAGTAATCAGCATTGTAGAGTGCTGATGAAGCTCTCCTCTCACCCTTAGATGAAGTGTTTTTTGGATTTCAAATCTGGAGGAGCTCTGTG